GCCCAAATGAGGTTGGTCATAACTAGGTTTGCCCGGTCAAAAGCCGAAATATGACATTTTGCCCAAGGATTGTGGGCAATTCGCGTTTTKCCCGGGCATTTCTGAGGTTTGCCCGATTTCGACTTTTGCCCGTAACATATATATGCAGTCTCGGTGGTACGTGCGGGTGGTGGGTGAGATGATAGGATGGGTGTGGGGATGACGTTGAGCAGAAGTGGTCGAAAGGACTAAGGAGTGCACGTCACGTAACAACGAAAGAAAGAAAAACGTCAATGAGACATTTACATTTTCCAACAAGACGTTCGGTACGGACAATGAGAGTTATTTTTGCGTACAGTGAAATTATTGTGGACTGCGAATATGTATTATAATATTATATTGTTGACATAATAGTAAAAATATGATGTGATAGAGCTAACGAACGTAAAATACGGTAAGATGGCATAAAATAAGTATAAATATGATTTATATAAAAAAGATTGTGAATATATTACCTTAAACTGCAGTATGACCGTTCAGGAAATATGTGGTTTTGTTAAACAATGAAAAATCGTTTTTTTTTAGGGCAGGGAAAAACATCGAAACGTACATTAGTTGCACACTTCAGGTATTTAGATAAATATATGAGAACAACTAACTCGAAACCATATTTTTATATTTTTTTGCGGCCTAATAATATTAATTCTATGTTATGTTTATCGTCACGCATAATTCAGTGTCTCAGCCCACTACGGTTGACCTTCACAGGTAAATATCCGTACACGTTATCAACAAAGATTAAGTTCATTATAYAACGGAAAACATAAACAATAAGACATGTTCAAAATGCAATTTTCGTGTCCAACTGACTTTGTAGGTTTAATACGGGAGACCTTCACCATTGTGTAAAAGTAGATTGGAAAATCGTTTAGCTTCATCCAAAAAAAAAAAATATCATAGTTGGTATTACTATAAAATTATGTGGAAATAGTCTTGTGATAATAAAATAATTATTAAAATAATTAGTTACAACGTCCCCCAGTCTTTGTGACAGTCAATATAAATTTTATATGTATACATTTATAAATATATATTAATTTAACAGTGCAACCGGCAATACGAGACATCTGYAAAAGTGTAATAAATTCGAACGAATCGTGTTCGACATCATGTCATCGAATATTTCACATTGATAATTAATTTATATGTAATGTCCGATTCAAAACGACGAATAT